TTTTTTTTTTTTTTTTTTTTTTTTTTTTTTTTTTTTTTTGTGAGTGCACCACTCTGGAGTGAGTATTACACTAGAACAATAAATACAAAACTGGAATGACAAAAGATATACAATAAGTGACAACGCGCATACAGTATCAACCATAGTTAGCTAATAATGGAATTCGGTTAGACACATAACCGCTTTTTCTTAAAAATGTCCTTAATGAAGAAATTAAAGTAGGCACACAGTTCTTTGGACACTAGGATATGGGCTGGACAAGGCCAACCATACCCCAAAGACAGGACTTCCAGCATTAGCCTGAAGCGTTCGATTTCGTAAATATGGCATTCATATAATATGTGCTGTACAGTTTCAGCTTTACCACTTGCGCAGGAGCAGAAGGTACTGCTGGCCAAATTACGTGCCGCTAGATAGCAATTGAAATTTCCATGACCAGTTAGTATTTGAGAAAGAGAATACGAAAAGTTATTAATTGGATTCCTGAGAAAATCATAAATTGTTGGGTAGAACATCTTGGTGACATTCCCTTTAGTCGAAGAGGTCCATGACTGGTTCCATTCTAAAATAAGATGGTCATAAATAATCCTCGTCAGAGTGTTCCTAGAATAAGGCTGTATAGTCAGAGGTAGGTTTTCATCTTTAGAAGCATCCTTTGCCGCAGTATCTGCCATCTCATTGCCCACCACACATGCATGACCTGGGACATAGAAGAATTTGAAACATTTCGAGCTTAGGCTTACATTCCTAATCATACTATTTCGAAGATTAGTATTCGTTTCCAAAATAGCTTATTTAATAACGTTCAAAAATTTTTGCGGCATAGGCCTATTTAGGATCCTCTCGCGACATACTGGTGAGTGGTGATTTTCAACTGGTGAAAATGTTTCTAATCCTGTTAACAATAGGAAGTGCGCAAGTTGCGTAAGTTACGTGACCGTTGAGTCATTTAGCTTCATCGATTTCTAACAGTCCTTAGAGCCGTTCAGTCTGGTGACTATCGGAAGAATTTTAAACGAAACCGTGATCCGGTTTCGTTCTTCAAACAGGCTCGTGCAATAGCCAAACGTTACGTTATGCACTCATATTTCTTTTCGTCTATGTGTCCGACGTTTTTTCGCTTGCAGCGACTAGAGCAGTCAGCTAATCGTTTGTCTTCTGACTTCAACTACAATGCGTCTATCGCTACTTTGAATATAGCGACTTTCTTTGAGATAAATTCCACGCCAGATAGGGTGAATACGGATGTAATCGTTTTGTTTTCAAGGAAAGCTTTTCTTACGTTTCTTGCTTAGGTTTCGTGCCAAATTTTACGCATGACTACAACGTCTATCCGCCAGAAAATTCAAGTTAGTTTCCACTAAAAGTTTCTTTCACATTCTGCCAACTTTTAATCTGCGTCTCGGTTGCTTTTTTGCGCGTTGTTTACAATCCAATACCAGACGGTACATATGGTGACACAAGACCAGACATGACTTTCAGTTTCGTTGAGCATCCGTTGAAAAATTGAATTACGAAATTGATGACCTAAAAATTAACGATTTTCGAAGATGTAACCATTGATGGCGTGTTTCCCTATGTCTTTCTCGGGCGGTGTTTGCAAACGCAATCGACCTCCGGCGATTACAAGTATTAATTTACAGCAGTGGCGTGCCGTGACATTTGATGAGAAGGGAGCTATGTTTCTGTAAGAAGCCGACTTCCAGGGGCAATCAGTTAATTCTTTAAATGTATTTTTAATAGATTATTTATCTGACGTAATTAATAAATAAACAAGTTCAATATAATTACCTCCGTTATTAGATTCAATAGATTCCCTATGCCCTCTAAATGCCGATTCTCGCTTTGATAAAAACATATAAGATCTATTAATTTAAATATATCTAAGCCGTAACTATCTCGTTATAATTTCCAATATTTATTTTATATTATTTACTAATATTAAATTCTATTCCACTTTGATTTCCAAATTGCTTCAAATACGAAAGAATCGACGATTTTTCGTGTCTTTTGCCAGCTAAATTGTCAAAGCCATTCTTATTCCACACACTAATTTCATTTGAAAATAGTAGGCAAGCCAACAAAACAATTTTTGCATTTTTATGCATTTACAGAGCCATTTTATCGTGAAAATGTCGAACAAATTTTTTTATTGAAGCGTTTATATTTAACTTAGGCATTGGCCTTTCTCTTTTAATAATGTTTTCTTTTTCATTATATGATCTCGAGCCAAAACTTTTTTAAAATAAATTTTCAATATCGCAATTACATTCCGAATCGCTAGCCACGATATAAGGGCTAAAATTAAAAATAAAATTATAAAAACTTACTTGGTGAAATAAAATGTGTGGTGGATATACATACCTGGTACAAAACCTTCTTCAATTGTACGAATATACTTTTAAAGAAAATTATAATTAAATATAGCTTTGTAAAGAAACGTACATAAAAATAACATATAATCTTCTTTACTTTTTAAATCTTAACCACTTAGTCAAATAGCTCCCTACGAGTGGAATCAGAGACGGTCCTGCTAGATGTGCGGTGCGTGCTTGCACGCGGGCTGCCAAATCCCGAGGGTGTAGATACCGGTTAATGCCAAATGCCTCTTTTTCGCATCACTAGTATATCTCAAAGGACGCGACAGGGTTGTAAATTTTAAATGTTTCTCACTATTGCTGTAAAAATCTAAATATGTTAAACTTAATAGCCACTTGTTTTCTAACTAATTCGTTTTAGGACCAGGTGTCAACGGAAATTTTCAAAATTTACAACTTTTCGGTCACTCTCGTTGAACTGGAAAAATTTCCGTTTATATTACGTCTAATATTACGAAGAAATCAGTCCACACTGTACTCTGCTAGAGATTGGGTCGGTTAAGCTTTTAAGTAATATTCCGGTTCTTTCAGCAGGGTTT